TGGAAAGACCCAGGGCTCCAAGCCGCTGGTGGATGTGACTCATCTTCCTGACCCCGGGGGAGGACAGTGGTGTGTTTGGTGCACACTGTGCACCTGTCAGTAGTCAGCATCCTGTAGGCCAGGAAAACACTGACTCTTCTCAGGAAAGGCTTTGACGGCAGTTGGAACAGAAGTACAAGTAGACAGAGGCCACTGAGTTATGGAAGAAAACCAGGCTGGATACAGTTCTGTGTTTACAACAGGAAGAAGGATCCCTCATTTTCCTGCTCAAGCTGGTCATCAAAACAAGTAAACAACTAGTCCCCCCCTTTTTTGTTTTTAGGGTTTTAAGGTTTGCTATTACATAGGAAACACGGTAGTATACATGGTGAATACCAAAGAAGGCATAAAACATGAGTGATTTTTAAGAGGTCCAGTGGGTGATTTCTATTGGCTCTTTGTCTCCCTCATTATCCTGGAGGAGTTCCTTCACTAAAGTCCTCTGCTATTCACCCCGCAAATCCCTCAACCCCTCTTTCTCCCCTGGACTCAATCACAGATCGTTGCTTCTTTAGCTATTTACTCCTTCCCTTGTCTCATAAAAAAGTTGAGCAAGCTTATTAGAATACACAGAATAAAGGATGAAAAAAATGGTCAAAATAAGCAATGAAGAAGGCAAGGAAAATAGTTGATAGAGCCAGCAATAAGATGAGCACATGGAAACATCTATCATATGATGTTATTCAGTTACTACAAGCAGGCATGAGCCAAGAGTCCTAGGAGCCAAGGAAATGAGAAATATAACCAAGCTGAAGGTACAAGTCAGGAAAGCTCTGCCTCTCTAATGCACAGACCAGAGGGGAGGTGGGTGATCACAGTCCTGGGTTAAGTGCTTCTCTGACATTTTCTTATTTGATCCTGACAATCTCGTGGGGTGGACATTATTATAACACTCATTTTACAGATAAGGAAACTAAGAATTCAAGAATAAGTCAGTAATGTGCCCAAGACGACAGAGTTACTCAGTTGTAGAAATGAGATTCAAACCCAGGCTATCAGGCTCCATGTCTGGGTCCTGAACCAAAAAGCTCACCCTGCAGGACCACAGTGGGGGAGTGGGGTTCTGTGGGACATTTCTGAGACAAATGTAATAGGCACTTTTGTAGGACCATATCTCCTGACCTCTTTCAATGCAATTCCTTAATATGGGCATAAAAGCATAAACCCTGTTGAAATTCAGCAAAAGCAATTCCTTGAAGCCAAACAATTTGTGCAGGTGCATCATTCTTTGATAACCTAATTTCCTTCTCTATGCACATATATGAATACTGCAGATTCTATCAGGAATTAGAACAACAGGTATTTATTCAAACCATAGTCAGTCATTCTATGCATCCACAGCCCTCTCTATTAAGATGTATCCCCCACTAGAACCTCAAAGCTGAAGTCTTTGGTCTCCTCAGTGTCAGGCTTCCTAACCTCTACAGAGAAAATACTCTTAAATACACAGCCCTCCGGGACAACAGAACACACAGTGAAGACTTCTATTAAGAACCTTTACAGGACAACTTGACCTGTCTTTGGTTCCTTTCTTCTATATTCTTTGTTAGATGTTTTAGGAATTGCGTATTTCCTCTATTCAAGACCTCATACCATTTGGGCAGCATTTCTCAAACTTTCAGCATCTGTAAGCCAGTGCAAGCTAACGCAAAGCACTCACTTTGGGTGAGATTTCATCACTACTTTTAGTAATAAAAACATCACATTCTTTTTGAAAGCTTTTTTATTATGAAGAAATGCAAACGTACACCAAAAGTAGAATAATATAAAGAACCCCCATGGACTTATCACTCAACTTTAACTATAGTTGACTCATGGCCAATCTTATTTCAACACAATTCTCATCCACTTCCTCTCTCTCATATCATCCTGAAGCAAATCCCAGATGTCATATCGTTCCATCCATAAATATTTCAGTAGGTGTCTCTAAAAATACGAATTCTTTATTTTAACATTACAATAGCATAATCACAACTATTTGTGAGAATTCCAAAATATTATCAGATATCAAAATATATCAGATTCCCAATTGTCTCAAAATTTTAAAGTTTTTTTTTTTGTTTGTTTGAATGAGGATCCAAATAAGGCCCACATATGTCCATCAGATAGAACATTATTTTAAATGGCACTATTGTTTCACGCATTTGTGTGAGGCCATATTTTGTAATCGCTCCCCAGGATATCTGTCCTATTTGATAATGGGGTCAAGTTCCATAGTCCATTGATTTCTTTCGTTACCCTTTATTTTTACTAAGTTAAACACTCCCAATTTACAGACATTGGAAACAGTAACAAATGTCTGATATCTTTTTCCAATGACTATGGATTCAGCAATTAGATTTCTTATTGCAAACATGTTTAGCCCTCTACCAGGTGCCAAATGAATTATGAAACACATTTAAAATCTGGACAGATCCATGCTTTAACTTGGGAGATGGGGGAAATGGGTCCCCCTCACCTACAGGGACTTCCTTCTGGTTCTGAAGAGCCTATCTTCAACGTTACAGGTTGTTTTAAACCATGCCCAATACCAGATTAAGAAAGAGTCAAACTCCAGTCAGAGCAGACTGGACCTGAGTTTTGTCTTAAGAGGGTTTCTCAAGTCCAGCTAATTGTTTTTCTCTTAAAGGGGCTGAGTTTTTCTTTTGGATCCTGCAGACCAATACAAGAATTGACTTCGTATCAGAGGCAAATGATCAGTAGATATGCTGTGATGGGCAAAGTCATTCAAAGTTGTTAGGAGGACACTGAAAGTGTCAGGCAGGGTATGAGGTGATTCTGAAGGAGGATTGGAGCAGGGCCAAGTAGAAGACGAAGAGGGTGATATAGGAATGAAGAGGGAGGAATCTGCAATGGCATTCATATTTCTGACTCCAGTGTGGGATGCCATGTAAAAAGGAACCCTAAATTCACACATACATGCACATACACCCCAAAGAAACCCCTTGCAAGTTGCTCATGGCCCTAGGATGGAAAGAGCCAGCTGATCTGAGAATAAGAAAATGCACCTTACATGAAATATTCTCTTCATAGTTACAGCAAATGTTCTCAACACTGGCTGCATATGAGAAGCATCTTGGGAGTTTAAAATACTATGTCCGGGCCCCTGCGCAGGCTAGCGGAATCGGAATCTCCGGGTATTTTTAAACCTCCGTCACCGTCCCTCTCCTGGACACCCCCACCCACACAGGTGATTCTAACATGCAGCCCGGCCTGAGAACCACCGGGCTAAAGCATGGACAGCAAGGGCTATTTCAGTACAGGATCGATTAATGAGCAAGGGCTCATTATTCAAAATACTCACAACTTGAAGCTTGGTTTGGCTCAGCCTAGACTTCTGGAGCTTGGGGTGAGAAGCAACCTAATCTTCAGAATTCACAGCTCTCCTGCGAAACAATGTCAGCGGGGAGAGCCTGGCAGGGGAATGGGAAAGGCGGGGTGAGGTTCCCTTCTGCCCGGGGAGAACACTGGTTCTCTCACTCCTCTGTGCATGATGATCACACGGGAATATCTGTCAAAAGCAGCCTCCTGGGCCCCACTCCCTGGGTCGGTCAGGTTTATGATGTGGCCCAAGAACCTGCATTTTAGCAGGTCTCCAGGTGACTCTCTGAGGGTTTATGGAACAAAGACACATCCAGAAACCCTGAGAGGCCTCCAGGAGCAGCAGTCTGTGGGCCCTTCCTGGTGAACACATGCAGGGCAGGGCTTCCCTCTTCAACCCTGGGCCCTGCCCCTGGTCTGAGCGGTAGGTCTGAGGTGGTGCCTGGCATCAGTGTTAGAAGTGATTTCAGGGCACTGTCCAATTGGGGACCTTCATGGAAAAGAAGTGGACCTGCCCCAAGTTTTCCCTGTACAATAGAAGGTGGAAGCGAAGCAGGAAGGACCCTTGGCTCATTCACTCCTTGCTTCTACCAAAACGGAAGCTGGCGTTTTCCTAGGCGGACAGCTGGCAGGAAGTGCAGGCGGAAACCAAGCAGCAGCCTCTGGTCTTTCAGCAACCACTGATTTTATCAGAAAAGTGGACCTCAAAGCATCATCAAAGCAAACATGCAAATTCTTGGGCCCCACCCCAGACCACCTACTGATCAGGTACTTCGGGGAGACAGGCTCCCTAATCTGTGTCACAGCAGGCTCCCAGGTGATTCTGATGCTTGCTCGGTGATTATGGGCTTAGGAAAGGCCCCACCTCTTCTGGCCATCCCCTCAGGTCCCTTGTCATGGAGACAGGGGGAGGCCCCACAGCACCTCCCCCGCTCTCACGGTTATTGGGAAGGTGCTGAAGGATCATGGGGCTGCCAGCCTGGAGGAAAAGGAGCCTGGTTCCAGGCAGCTGCCACCTGCACAGGCTGCTCTCCCAGCTGACTTGCTTTGTTTTATTTTCTCTAAGCCTGAAGAAGGGCTTTCCCCAGAGAGAAAGGACACCTGGTGCCTAATCCCCCAAAGCAGAGGCAGCTGTGGTCCAGAAGCCCCAGGGCCTGTTTCCACTGTCCTCCCTGGGGAAATGCAGGCATAGGGCCCAGAGAGGCCCAGGACTTGTCTCCACACTCTCCTTTCTCTGGCCAAGAAAATGCTTCCTCTTCTTGGAGGATGGAGATGCAAACACTCCCTTTCTGGAGCAGGCTGCAGCCAGAGGGGCGGCATCCTCTACCAAGACGAAAGCCCTTTTGGGACAGTGTGAATGCTGGTACCCCACACTCCCAAAGATGAGGGGAGGCTGATCTGAGGCAGAGGCACAGGTGAGAACCAGACCAGTGGGACAGAACAAGTTACTTGCCTCTTTCTTCTCTGGACCCAATTTTGGAATTCTTCCAAGCATTCTGATCAGAGACAAAGACTAACACGCTCTAAAAGGGGGTCGCCAGGATTGGAAGTAATCCAGACCTGTTGTGGATTCACTGCAGAGTCTTTCAATGTGTTATATGGGGTTCACTACTTTAAAACAAAAATTCAGGGACTTGGGATAAATGAAAAGTATAGTTTCATTGTATTTTCTTGTCAAACACCTTTACTTGAGGCAACAACTGAAGTATAATTTAATTCAGCAGGAAATATCACACTTGGAGGGAAAACACACACTCAAAAAAACCCTTAAATGAAAGCCAAACATTCTTTCCAAGGCACAGCACTGGCATTTTCAGATTGACAGCAGAACGAGTTTGTTTTCCGTGAAACAAAATCACGAGTCCAGAGTCTGTTTTTGAAACAGCTTTCCACTTCATCTCCCTTTCTCGGGCTCAGGGAACGATGCTTGTGGCCTTCCTCAGGGCCAGGTAGCCGGTGACGACGTCAGAGGGCAGCCTCCGAATATAGGAAAACTCTTCAATGGTGCTGAACCGCAGTTTGCTCTGGGGGTCTGTGTAGTTGGCCTGGAAGGAGGCACAGGGAAGGGCAGAAAGTTTTTGTGGGTAGGGATATAAGTTCAAGTATAAGTTTAAAAAATTTTTATATCCCTACCAGAAAGTTTTTGCTGGTAGGGATATAAGTTCAAGTATAAGTTTAAAAAATTTTTCTGTTTCACTGAAAGTGATATATATTTTCGTTATGTCTTACTCTGCCACCAAGAACACTAAATCACTCACTGTGGCACAGGCTCATTAACCTTCCCAGACTCCAGAAACACTTCAGGGTACGGACAGGAGGAAGGGGAATAACCGCATTAGACTCTGGGACCCTTCTTGTTGGTGCCTCAAGGGCTGCAACAGATCCAAGAGTGAATTCATAATGGTCATCCCTCCCACTCCTGCCTCTTTCCAACAAATGTCCCAGGTCTGTGCTCAAGGCAGGAGCTGACGCCCTGCATGCTGGGCATGTGGCCCTCCCTGCTGCGCTCCATTTACCTCCAGCATGCTCCTTTCCAGCTCTTCCAACACCCCCTGCGCCACTTCCACGCCTCCCGGAGCCACTCTGTAGTGCATCACTGACCGTCCACAGCCACCCTTCCCCTAGAACTGCAGCCAGGATCTTCTTCGCAATGTGCAATTCTGATCATGTCATTCCTTAGCATAAAATCTCTCAAAATGGCTCCTCTGCTCTTGGGACAAAGGCCCAAGTCCTCAGTGCAGCTCCTCGGCTCTGGGCCTTCCTTTGTCCTCAGCCTCCTCCTCAGCCACACGTCCCCACTCTGATTCCAACTATCCCTGGCCTCTAACTAAGTTCCTCCCTTTTACCATGCCCCATCTGTCCTTTCCTTGGCAGGGGACCCCAACTGTGGCCCATTTTGCTCAGTAATCACCAGTTCATTCTTCAGGACTCAGCCCCAAAGCTACACTTCGAGGGAAGCCTATTTGTACCCCCACAGGAGGTCAGAGCCTCACCCTCCACTCTCACAGCAGCAAAAATACTCCAGTGGAATGCACATCTCTGCTGCTTTAAAGTTTATTATCTACATGACTCTTTGATGATGGTCTAGGCTATGAGGGTCCATGAGACAGGAACCCTGTGGTTTGCTTATCATTGTAGCCTGGCTCCTAGTGCAATGCAGAGTGCACAGAGGGCCTCCAGTCAGGTTTGTATAACAAAACAAATGATTAATGAATGAATAAGCAGACAGACAATTGGGACCATCGCGGAAAAGAGAACTTGTTTCCCAGACATATCAAAATTCTCACTTGGTCTCTGTTCCCCGTGTGCCAAGTGGAGAAAATAGCTCACTAACTATACACCTCAAAGTACGTGGGCTTCTACAGATTTTGAAACAAAAGACATGAGGGTGAGTCATTTTGAGCTCCTTTAAAAAAAATCATAAAACATGCCATTAAAGTCTAGATAGATAACATCCAATTATTCAAGTGTAGATGTTTACTTTAATGTGGATCATCTTTGTGTGGACCTAGACTCACAGTAATCGGTGATTTAGGAAGGGAGGGAACACTCAATAAAAAAGCAACGAGCTGTCGGGAACTTATTTATAGGCTTCTCGTGTCCTAAAAAGTCTTCCATTTTGCCACTGGGGACTCCCTTAAGTATTTAACTGCTGTGTGTTAGGAAATGGGATTATTCCTAAAAGGCTAAGATTAACTAATAGCTCTATATAAAATAAAACTTCAATCCCTTGGCTTGACCTAGATGTTACCTTTCTGTACCACATTTCCTTTAATGACAGTAATATAAGGAACGGCTTAATTAGAAAAACAGTGACAAGTCTCTTCTGAGGGATCCTGGCCATGAGGGAAGTTAGGTTAGGAGAGGCTGCCCTGCAGTTCCGAGCAGAGCACAGGCATGTGTGTCTGGCGTGGACCATCTGGCTTCCGTAGACGAACCAGCCTCGGCCGAGCTCCATGTCTGTGGCTGCCTCACTCCTACCAGCAAACTGTGCTGAGCCGGCCCGCCCAAGTTCAGACCTCACTGCCAAGAGCGCTGCTGAATAAACAGTGCAGAATACAGAGATCCTGTGGCACCAACAAAAAAGTTACCAACAAAAACCTGAACAGATTGGACTGGACCCAGGGGCCAGCATCTAGGATTCTGAATAGAAGGAAGGATGCCAAGTGACACCCCAGAGTTGAACAAGTCAAGAGCTTCACACCTACAGTCCACCCTCCTCTGGATGCCATCCCTTGAGCCTGAGTGAAATAAGCAAAGGCCAACTTGGGGAAGCCAGCAAACAGCTTCAGGCCCCCCTTGCTGCAGGGTGACAGGCAGTATTCACAGCTTGCCCGTCCTACCCAGAATACACTTTTCATAGCTCTGTAATGAGCGCTGAACACAGGTGTGACCCTGCATTCTGGCTGCCGTGCCTAGGCACAGGGGAAACAGTCACATGGCCGGCTGGGAACAGGTGTGTGTCCATGTAAATGTGAACTAGGCTTTACTTTTTAATTATGTAACTTTAAATTATGTAAGCAACAGACGAACATGTTCTCCCCTAAAAAAAAATGAACAGAAAACATTACAGATAAGACTAAAGTCCTCATTTACCACCATCTACCATCCAAAAGTCCTCTGCCTTCCCCTGGAGAAACCACTGCTAAGTGGGCACCTTTCCAGACTTTTTATGTCTACCCCTATACACATACGTAAACACACAAGAGAAATAACTCAATGTGTGTGTGTGTGTGTGTGTGTTGATTTTATATATGTAGCACCATGCTATTTATATTGCTTTGCATCTTTCAATCAACATCACATCCTGGAAATTTATCCATGTTGTTACTATGCACTGAGCTCAAGAACAGTATGAAAATATCCGCTGTGATAGACCTTGATGTTGCTTCCAGCATTTTGCGAATGTAGTCTCTCATAAGCATTTCTGCATGAAGTTCTTTGTGCACACTATTTCTCTAGGGAGCTGCCTAGAAGGCATATTGCAAGGTCAGATGCTTTTGCTTTTTTTTTTAAATCTCAACAGACTGTTCCAATTGTCCTCCAAAAAAGCAGTACCAGTGTATGTTCCCACCTCAAAACAGCAATGTATGAAGACATCCATTTCTGTATGTTGGTGCCAAAATGTATAAGCAAACGTCTTAATTTCTTCCCTGTTTGATGAGCCTTTCTCCTAATTACCAGTGAAGCTGAATATCTACTTATTGGTCATCTATATTTCTTCTCTGGCAATTGCCTATTTATATCCTTTTTGCTGATTCTTCTGTGGGATTGTCCTTTAATGAACTGGGAGACTTCTTTGTCTATTCAGAATTTCTTATTTCCTACATACAGTGGGGCAAGAGGTTTTAGGTAATGTGTAACATGACAAGTCCACTGCCAATGACATAAAGGGGCCTGGAATAATGATTCTCCTTCCTCCTAATGTGTGAAAACCACTGTACTAGCAGATGAGCCGCCTGAAACAGTAAGGATAAAGCTGACATTCTAAGGAACCACCCTCAAGTCTGGCCATAACTGTGGCCTCCAGAAACTCAAAATGACACAGGGAGAGATTTCCACTTTGGGCCATAACAGAATAACTGGTGCCAGATGAGCTCTCTTGCCATAAACGACTATTACAACAGGTCAAATATATGAAGTAGCCATTTTCAGGCAACAGACAAGAGGTAGCACAAGACGGCAATGCCTGAGAAAAGAGAAGCTCACAAGGTAAGTTCCAGGATCATCCAAACTCTCTCTGCCTGTGCCAATTTCCTGACCGTGGGGCAGAGGTGGAGCTCATGCAGAGCTCAGTGGACCCACTGAGCTGGGGAAGCAGAGATCAGATTCAGGGGCTACTGAAACACCTGATATTGGCAAAACCGAGTAACAGAAGAGGGAGCTGCCTTGGAAGGGAGGCAAAAGTCAGTTTGGGATTCCACATGAGTCCATAACCATGGGCTGGACTATGCATGTTCAAGGCAAGACTATATAGGTCTTACTGGAGAGTGGTTAAGAGGGAAACAGAAACTCCAGAGGCTGAGCAGTGCTGGGAGTTGCTGAAGTGCCAGCCCAGCCAGAATAGAGATTGCTGTAACACTCCTGGCACCTAGCTAAGACAACAGAAAGGCCACAGCTTAGGACTTAAAATCATGCCCTTGAGTACCATCTATTCTAGTCTCACTACAACAAAGCCTAACACCAAACTTCATTAAGACTGGTAGAGGATAAAGAACTTAGAAGTTAAGTGCAACTAAGTTAAAGAAGCTTGGGAAACATGGGCTTTCCGCAGACCTGTCCTAACGAAGTGCAAAACCAAACCTACACCCATTCAAGGTGATCAGTCAGGAACTAAGCTACCACAGGAAAAAAAAATACTCTTCAGGGAAAGATAACAGAATCTAGAGTTTTTACAATACATCATCCATAATGTCCAGTATACAACAAAAAAACTCATAGATGCAAAGAAACAGGAAAATGTGACCCACAGTTAAGAAAAAAAGCAGTCAATAGAAACTGGCCAAGATGAACCAAATGTTGGAAATAGCAGATAAATACTTTAAAACAGCTATTATGTGTTTGACGACTTAAAAAAAAATATATATATATATAGACTTAATGACCAAGTAGTCTTAAAAGACAAGGAAATCACCAGAACCAGACCCAAATATGATGTAGGTTTTGAAACTATCAGACGGGCAATTAAAAATAACTACAATCAATATGTTGAAGGAGTTAAAGGAGAGACAACATGCAAGACAGAAAGTTATTTCAGGTCAGGCACAGTGGCTCACATTGGTAATCCTAACACTTTGGGAGGCCAAGGCGGGTGGATGGCTTGAGGCTGGGAGTTCGGGACCAGCTTGGGCAACACAGTGAGACCCCTTCTCTATAAAAGAATTTTTTAAAGTTAGCCAGGTGTGGTGGCACACACCTGTAGTCCTAGCTGCCTGGGAGGCTGAAGCAGGTGGATCACTTGAGCCCAGGAGTTTGAGGCTGTAGTGAGCTGTGATCACACCACTGCACTCTAGCCTGGATTAGAGAGCAAGACTCTATCTCTGAATAAATAATTCAAAAGAAAGTTATTTCATCAGAGACATGAAAGCTATAATAATCAAACAGAAAAGCTAGAAATTAAAAACCCAGTTAAAGAGATAATGCTTCCCATGGGCTTATTCATTGGTATACTCTATACAGTGAGTAAAGAATTTGAAGACACATCAGTAGATACCATCCAAACTGAACCGCAATGAAATAAAAGAGTTTTAAAAAGCAAACAAACCAGAACAGAGCATCCAAGAATTTTGGGACACTATCAAATAGTTTAACATGTGTGTAACTGGAATCCTAGAAGAAGGGAAAAAGACAAGGCAAAAGAAATATTTGAAGAAATGATGGCCAAGAATTTTCCAAAATTCTTGACAGATACCAAACCAGAAATCCAAAACCTCAGAGAACATCAAGAATACATACCAGAAAAATAATACCCTGAGTCATATTCAATAATACCCAGTCATATTCAAACTGCTGAAAACAAAAGACAAAGAGAAAATCTTGAAGGCCGTCAAACAAGAAACATTACGTAGAGATGAACAAAGGTAAGAATTACATCAAACTTCTCACCATGGAAGCAAAAAGACAACATTTAACCACTGACATCTTAAAAGTGATGAAAGAAAAAACTGTCAGCTCAGACTTGAAAATGTCATTCAAAAATACTCACTGAAAATATCATTCAAAAAGGAAGAACAAGGCTGGGTGCAGTGGCTCCACGCCTGTAATCCCAGCACTTTGGGAGACCAAGGCGGGAAGGATCACTTGAGCCCAGGAATTTGAGACCAGGCCTAGGCAACAGCGTGAAATCCCATCTCTACAAAAAATACAAAAAATTAGCCAGGCATGGTGGCACACACCTGTAGCCCCAGTTGCTTGGGAGGCTGAGGTGGGTGCATCACCTGAGCCTGGGAGGTCGAGACGGCTGCAGTGAGCCAAGATGGTTCCACTGCACTCCAGCCTAGGCAACAGAGTAAGACTCTGTCTTAAAAAAAAAAAAAAAAGAAAGAAAGAAAAGAAAAAGAAGAAGAAGAAATAAAGGCTCTTTGACAAAACAAAAAAAGAAAGGACTTCATTAGCAGCAAATCTACTTTATAAGAAAAGCACAGTAAACTGTTCCAGTAGAAAGAATATGACATCAGACTGCAACTTGGAAATAAACAACAAAATGAAAAAAGGTAGAAATAGAATGAAATGAAGATAAAAGAAAGTTCTTTTTTTTCTTATTTTTATTTCTCTAAAAGCTAACTGTCTAGAGCACAAATTAACAGCCAAGTATTTTGTTTGCAGCATATGTAAAAGTAAACTATATGACAACAAAGAATTAGAGACTAGGATTAGAAATTCACTACCAGAAGACCCTCACAATACACACAAAGTGGTATAGGATTTGAAAATAGACTCAGGTTATTTAAAATGTATATTTTAAACATGAAAGTAACCATTCATTATTTTTAAAAGAGGTGTAAATAATAAGAAAACAGAATTTTAAAATGTTCAATTAACCCCAGTTTTATCATCATGAGAAAACAGAGGAATTCCAGTGGTGGAGGATTCTACTAAATACCTGACCAGTGCTCCTTAAAACTGTTAAGGTCATTAAAAACAAGGACAATCTGAGAAACTGGCATAGCCAAGAGGAGTCTAAAGAGACGTGATGACTAAATTTGATATAGTTTTAGGTAAAAACTAAGGAAATGTGAATAGACTATAGACTTGAGTTAATAATAGTATATCACTATTGGTTCATTAATTGTAACAAATATACCATAGATGTTAATAACAGCAGACACTGAGTTTGGGTTATATGGGTACTTTCTATACTATTGTCTCTATTTTTCATAAATCTAGAACTGTTCTGAAAAATACAGTCTATTAAAAAATGCTCAATAAATCCAGAGAAGGCAGAAAAAGAGGAATAAGCAAACACAAATGGAACAAATAACTAGTGAGATAGTAGATTTAAATACAACCATATCAACAATCACTTTAAATATGAATAGCCTGAGGACAACATTTCTTAGATTGATAGACTGGATAAAAAGCAAGATCCACTGGGTGCAGAGGCTCACACCTTTAATCCCAGCACTTTGAGAGGCTGCTGTTGGGAGACCACTTGAGCCCAGGGGTTCAAGGCTTCAGTGAGTTATGATCACACCACTCCATTCTAGCTTGGGCAGAAGAGCAAGACCCTACCTCCAAAGGAAAAAGGAAAAGAAGGACCCAACAACTCAACAATATGCTTTCAACAAGAATCCACTTTAATTATATAGACAGTTTAAAAGTGAAAAGATAGGCTGGGTGTGGTGGCTCATACCTGTAATCCCAACACTTTGGGAGGCCAAGTCAGGAGGATCACTTGAGGTCAGGAGTTTGAGACCAGCCTGATCAACATGGCAAAACCTCATCTCTATTAAAAATATAAAAATCAGCCAGGTGTGGCGTGCGCCTGTAATCCCAGCTACTTGGGAGGCTGAGGCAGGATAATCGCTCGAACCCAGGAGGTAGAGGCTGCAGTGAGCCAAGAGTGTGCCAATGCACTCCAGCCTGGGTAACACAGCAAGAATCTGTCTCAAAAAAAAAAAAAAAAGTGAAAAGATCAAGAAAGACATACCATCCACACATGAATGAAAGCGATATTAATTTCAGACAAAGTAGACTTCAGAACAATGAATATTATTAGGGAGAAACAGGGATATTACATAATAATAACAAAGGAGACAATTCTCCTCTGTACATAATTAATTTGGCCAATTTGTTACATAAGTTGGAGTCATATTTTCATTAACATGTAAAGCACTTAAATTATTTTTCCAAATTTATGAGATGAAAAAGGATTAAGATGAATCTTAGGTTCTAACTTCTGCAAATAAGGAAATGGGGGTGCTCTGAGGTTCCTGAGCTTTAGTAACCTGCCTGCTTTCCACTCTTCCAGCTATGCTGGCAGTTCCTGAATTGTGTTCCCCAGAAGCACTTGAGCAGTCACTGTGGTGAGGAGTGGGGAAGACGACAGGTGGCCAGATCCACATGGGACCGCAGCAGAAAGGTGGCTCCAGGCTGTTTATGTATTGGATTCTGTAAAAGATTTCACTTGGAAAAGGGGTTCTGATGCTTAAAAATAAGTTTGAATGTCACAACCTTTGCCAAAGCACCTATTTAGAGAAGTTTAAACATGGTTTTGTAAATACAATCATCATCTAAAATGCAGGTTTTTAAAACTTCAGCAGTGAAAAAAGAAATACATAGTTGTTTCTTTCATGTTATCTCACATAGTTAGCTAGCAGAGGTAAAGAAGAGAAACTGGAGTCTCCTGCTTTCTGGTTCAATCCTCCCCGCAGGCTGCCCTACAGATGCCTGTTTGCAGCAATGAACACACTGCACAAACCTATCACCTATCACTGTAGACGGGCTCCAGGCAGGACCAGCCATGGTCAACATTCAACACTTGTCTAATTAGACGTTACTGTGAAATCTTTTCCATTTAATGTTATAAGAGAGATACTCACAAGCAGACCTGAAACATCAGAATACTTCTTAGCTGGCTTAAACGATGGAGGAGCATCAATACTGAAGTCTGGAAAAAAAAAAAAATAACTAAACGAAACTGAAAACATTCAAATCCCTTCTCTTTTTTTTTCCTAAAATAGTATTTGATAATATTCCTGAAAATTTCCTTTGTGATTAAGTAGTCACAGAAGTCTCTGGAGATTAACTAGAGAAGTAGGGGAGGATTCCCAGAAATAATGCAGTGTGTCACAGGCCAAGTGCAGGCTCCAGATCTAGCCCCGCCCTGTCACCAGGGATGCTCTCTCTATGCCAGCAGAAGTACCGGAAAGCTCATCTGCCCACCAGCTATTTTCACAATCTCACACTACATGGGCTGATGGTGATGAAATGCCAAACAAGCCAGTAACTGGATCTGAGCATCCCGACACCCTCGTGTCCACACCCAGACGAATGACTGACTAGCTCACTTGTCACCCATGTGAGTCACCCCCACGAAAGAAGTGTAGTGGAGCAGGAGATGGTGAGAACTTTGAACTTGTACTTCCCAGTGAAGCTGAACAGAACATATAACAGTGTTTTACATAAATCTGGACACACTGCAGCATGAAGTATTTACTCTTGCTAAACACTGGCTCACAAAGTAAAAGAGCTGGACTTTAAGCTGGTTGTCAGGAACTCTCCTGAATCTGGCATTATACTTGGGCTACCTTGTTTTTGGAAACACATTTTAAGAGTAGACTTTTGAATGAGAAGTTTGTCTAGTAGAAACACCAATATTATCATATTGGGACCTATGACACTAAAACCCACACATCCATGACAACACAAACAAACAGGCTCAATACAGATACAGTTACGAGAAAATACACACATAATCTGCCCACACTGATGCCACTGTAAAATTCTCAAGCTAAAAATTATTTCCTACGATGATGCAAACACAATAAAATACTGTAGGTTTGTTATAAGATAGTTCCTACTCTGAACATTGTAAACACATGGAAGGCTCTAGCCAGCTCACAGTTAGGATCGTTCAGTTGCCACGGCAATGCCCTTTCGGAAGCGAGGATTTGTTTCAGGTTCTTCCAGGTTCTGTTCTTCTTGCCAGCTACTGCGCCACCGTGGCCAGAGTGCTCGAATTGAAGGCATGGATTAGAAGAAACAAAAACCAATGGAGACTACCATTTCAGAATCTGACATCTATGCTTAATCATACCTGTCATGTACCGCTCATCTGTCAACAATCATTTAGACCCCTGAGACTTTTTTTAAAAGGTATTTCACTGTACACATTAACATGTTAATCTTATTTTTAAAAAGAGGTTTTCAGATCGTCAAAACCGTTGAGTTAGTTTGTGTTGGGAGTAGAAATAAAAGGCTACTTCTTTATATGCATGTAAAAAAAAAAAAAGCCTTTATTGGGTCTAACTTTGTAGAATTCATTCATGAATTTCTTCATACTTTAAGATAAATGTACTACAAAGTCAGATTTAAATCCATGACTGCGTCTCTAAACTCCCTTCTTGGGGCAAGTCTCTGCCAAGCAAACTGGGGATCCTGGAAAAGGTGAGAAAGCTCCAGCTGCAGTATGGCAAACCTTCTGGATATCTGTTTTTTTTTTTTAAATCCTATAAAGATGACAAAATAAAATGGAAAAGAATACCAAAATCTGTTGCAAACACTGGTAACACTGTATTTCCAAAACTAATTCATTAAAAAAATTTAACACTATAATCTGAACTGCTGCCATTTATTACCAGTCTCAAGAATGAAAGGAAGAGGACCCTGTGTTCCACTCAACAGCACAACAGCTTTGATCTACCTTACGAAACTAACGAGGAAATACTTCTCATTTAGCTTAATATTTCAAGCTTTGTCTAAGATTGTAAGACCAATGAAAAGGTTAGGGGAACAATCATCACGGACATGACCCACCCTCCAAACAGTATCCTTTAATGAATCCACAAAGGATACCCAAATCCTTGGGATATGGCACATTGAGAGATCCACAGGAGGAACCCTTCTTCTTTTGTCTCCATCTCACCCATGGGGGAGAAGGAGGCGACTGGGACTGAGGGAGAAGAGAATGCCAGTGCCACCTTGCCTGCAGGCCCAGCAAGATCTGAGGCTGAGGTGTGGCATTTCGCTGTTTATTCAGCTGATACCTTCGATGCTTACCACAAAGTTGGGATCCTTAAATGGCAAAGGTTTGGCAGCTTTTTCCACAGGTCCTGTGCTAAACTCAGAGGGCACCACTTTATTCTCATTCATGGCTTCCATGCTGATACCCTTCAAACACAATAAAAATAGTTCGAAGAAGTCAGTTTCTTCCAGCTGAGTTCCCCACCTCTGCTCTCAACAGGGCATACGATGATGCCACAGGGCATGCAAGGGAAGACAGTGTGCCCAGAGCTCCAGCAGGTAGCCTGCCCCAGGGGAGGGCACACCACATGGGGAGTAGCACCTGCTGTGCAGAAGCCACAGGAGAAACAGGCCAGGACCCCCAGCTACTATGATTCCCAGGTACCCTAAATGCTAAGCACAGGGATGGCTGTCCTACCCAAGTAAGGTCATTTAATTCTGGCAACCACTCCACAGTGGGTGCTATTATCCCCAACATACAGAAACGAAAACTGAGGCCCAGGGGAACAGGTTCAAGGTCACATAGTGATTGACTTTTGGATTCAAACCTAGGTTGGGCCAGTTCTAAAGCCCTCACAATCTCCATGACACCACACAGTTCTGACTTCCACTGATCTCATGAACTCTGTCTTAAAATATGAAGACAAAAAAGGTCCAGCCCCTTTAAGAGTCTAGTTGGCCAAAGAACCCAGACTGGAGCTGGTATGCTTAAGGGGCACAACAGGACATGGGCATTGCAAGGAAGGAAAATGGAAAAAAAGCTGGAGGGCCACAGGTCAGCTGGCAGCAGCCAGAGTGCCCTGACAAAGAGGCTAATATGGTTTAAAGCAAAAACCCTTTAAGTTAACAATACAAAGAAAAAACAAGCCAAAGTAAGAAGCCACTTCTGATCTGTAATACAATTTCCAATCTTCCCAGACTTCAATTAACTTTTAAAAAATTGAGATGTGATTTACATACAATGGAATGCACAGATCTTAAATGTAGTTGTCATGAGTTTTGCCAAAAGTTTACCCTAGCACAATTCCTATCCTCGCCAATACCTTCCAGTCCCAGCGGCAACTGCTGTTCTAATTTCTACCACATTACTTTTGCCTGTTCTAGAACTTCATATAAATAGAATCTAACAGCATGTACTCTAGTGTCTGGATTCTTTTGCTCAGCATAAAGTTTCTGAGATGTGGCCAGGCATGGTGGCTCACGCCTGTAATCCCAGCACTTTGGGAGGCCAAGGTGGTAGGATCACTCGAGGTCAGGAATTTGAGACCAGCTGGCCAACATGGTGAAACTCCATCTC